CTGGGAGAGGAGGAGTGGGGGGGAAGGAGATGAGGAGGGGGGGGGAGAAGGATGAGGGAAAAGGGAGCAGGGGGACGGCGGAAAGGAGAGGGGAAAAGGGGGAAGCACGGGGAAATGTGGAGGAGGAAAGGGGGGGAGGGGGGGGGGAATTGGAGAAGGTGGGAAGGAGGAGGGAGGGGGGGGGGGGAAGGGGGAAAGGAGGAGGAGGGGGAGGCGAAGGAGAATGGTGCGGGGGGGAAGGTCGGGATGAAGCAGGGAACACGCGCGAAAGAGCGACGAGAGAGAGAGAGAGAGAGAGAGAGAGACGAGAGGGGAGGAGCGGCCCCCCGCGGCGCGGCTTTCCAGGCCCCAGCTCTGCCCCGTCTTCTTCTGGAGGATCTGCTCCTTCTCCTGCGCGCGCTTCGCCCCCCAGGGGGACGGCGCGGGCGGGCACTCTGCCCGGGCGCCTCTCTCGCGCAAACAATCGGCGGCACGCGCCGTCGGGGGCAGCCTCTCGGCCGTGAGCAGGGCCTCCGAAACTTTTTTTGTTCAGGGCGGGCGCTCTCGCCCGGGTCCGGGCCCCACGGAGCCCTCACAGGTTGATCCGGCTGCAAAAATGCCGCAGAAGGGTGGGGTCTACAGTCGGCCTTGGTTCGGCAGGACACGCGAGAGGCGAGAGGACACGAGTCCCTTCGAGGGCCACATTGCCGTATAAGGTGTAGCAGGCACTGGTCGCGAAGCAAAGGACACAGGGGCGCCTTCGATTTGGCAGGGTCGGGCAACCCATAAGCCTCGATTGTAAGAGCGCTCTCTGGCAACAGTGGCCGTTGGTGCACGACCTTCGGGGGCCGCGGGGAGGCTGAATGAGAAAGTGCGCATGCCACTGTTGTCGCATCGCATTCAACCATCTGGGGGCCCCAATGTGCCCGCACCAGAGGTCACTCTGGCGAAAAGCCATTCTGACGCATGGCCAGGGGCGACAACGTCACTCTGGCGAAACGTCACTCTGACGCATGGCCGAGCCACTCTGGCGAAACTTCACCCTGGCGAAAAAAACAGCATCATGGTGAGGGGGAAGGTCGAAGGGAGGACGCATGACGAACACATGTTCAAAGTTTCACTATGACGCGGTACGTGTATTAACCATTCGGCAAGTGTGTCAGTGCACCCAACAACCCTTTCCAGTTCATCGACAATACGCATCGGGATTGAGAGGGGCGGTACCCCCAAGGATGGGAGGCGAGAGAAAGACAGAGAGATATAGAGACAGAGAGATCGAAGGGGACAGGGGGAGAACAGCGCCACGGCCGCGCGGTCGCCGAAATATTACAAGCACTGGGCCGCTCCCAGCGCCCAACCCAGGCGCAACCTTAGCTTCACGCCTCTCCAAGCAAACGCCGCGAAGCCTGAACCCGAATACAATTCGTTCTTACAGAGAAGAGTCTACGTTGTGAAATGCTAATCGCAGTGAGTTGCCAACTTCACTGTTCAAGCAATCGTCCCACCCACCCACCTTGCGATGACTGCATGGCGATGCCCGGCGCATCGCTGAGGCCGCGCAAGCGCGCGCTGGCTCGCGCTCAGAACAGCCAGTCAATCTGGCGCGACGGACGCGGCCGCGGTGGCGCTGTTCGCCGGGGGCTCCCCAGGGCGTCTCGCAGGCCGCGCTGACGCGCGGGCACATCAGTGCGAGTCGGTGATTGGGGCGGGCGCGGTATTATGGCGACGTCGACAACAGCAGGCATGATGATGATAGCAGCGAAGCTGGTGCCAATGATGACGACGTCGACGGCAAAGGCAATGGAATGGCGGCGGCGATGTTGATCACGCCGATGACGATGAAGATGTCCACGCGTCGGTGATAAAGGTGTTGGATGGGGGTTCGACATGCGCGCGCGGTCGACGCGCGCGAGAGGCCCGCCTCGCATCATTTGACAAGAATCGTGCCTCCCCAGCACGCGCGCAGAGGCGTTCGAATGACTTCGGCATGCGCGCGCGAACGGCCCGCTTGGTCAAATGTGATGGACGTGCTGAGGAAAAAACGACTGGTTCCTGGAAGTGTAGAAATAACGCGCGCGCGCGCCTGATGAAAACTTCCGCTGCGAAACCAAATGGTTTAAACTGTATTCGGGACATCCGATTCTGAGACCCATGCTCTTGCTGCATGCGCGCGCGACGACGCGCGCGTGCGCACTTCCTCCCATCTGTTGCGACGGACTCTGGGGAACTGGTGATTCCTTGAAAACTGCAGATTGATTGTGGACTAGTGCGCGCGCGTGGTATTAGTTGACAGGGAAGAGGGGGGTCGATAGCTGGACTTCCTGGGAGTGTGTGAATTCGGATTTCGGATGGACGAATGTGCGCAACAACATACGGGAAAAAAGAATGACCTGTCAACCAGTGGGGAGATCGATCCAAATTCTTGTCTCGACAGGAAGATTTGAGCGGCGACGGGGCGGCGACGAGGCGGCGACTGGGCGGCGACGGCGGCAACGTAGTCGCCAGACTGACCGTCAGGCCCAGACGACGGGCGGCGAAGAGGCGGCAACATAACCGCCAAAACGGCCGTCAGGCCCAGACGACGGGCGGCGAAGAGGCGGCGACTGTGCGGCGACAGCTACAACATAGCCCCCAGACTGGCCGTCAAGCCCAATTCCTCATTCCACAAGGAAGAACCCCTAAGTGCAAGTGCCGTTTGGGAAATAAGAATAATAATGATAGTTATACTTCTATGAATGATGATCGTACGAATGCGACCACTCAAAATAATGATGACAGTAATGCTAAACATAATAACAAAGACACTGATTATACGAATCGTAATGGTACACACACACTCTCTGATAATACTAATACTAATCATGCACATCGTACATACGCACCACATTGCTTGCACAACACATCGATTGCAGCCCATCGCTTGCAGCGCGCCTAGCGTGAACCACATGGCGTTCACCACATAGCTTGCACATCCAGAGCGCAAGAGCGCACTGTTCGGGGTCCACACTGGCAAACATTGATTCGCATCGAGCAAGCGACAGGGGAAGCAACAATAACCAAACCGAACAAGGGATGCTGAACCTTCGAGCGAGCTAAAACCAAGTCTGGACGCAAAGGAAGCACACTGCTGCATGTTTCGACGTTCCTATGCTTTGGTGTACTTTGATGTGCAGTGCAGTGCGAAGCGTTGCAGCACATTGAAACGCATCGCGCTTAACCAGCGCATGTGCTCTCGAATTCCTTTGAGTTTGGCTGCTCCGCACTTGCGCGGCATTCCTTCCATTCGCCTTGGAAAATGCGTTGCCCTGGTTTGCGTTGCTTTGCGCTGCTGGGGAGGCAATCCGGCGCCGCCTGACGCCTATCTGATTACCTACCACCCCAACCTAGCCCGAAGACCCAAATTTCGGGTTGGGAGGGGTACGGGATCCACATGTGCTTTTTCCATGTTCCCCGACACCTCAACCACTGGGAATGGAGGGCGAATTGGGGTCTTCAAGCTTGGTTGCCAGACATGCGGAGTCTAATTTTTTTCAGTAGGCGGTCGCCTGGACCGGTTTCATCCTGAGTCATTTTCTGACGGTCCCGGGGCCCAGCGAGGGCTTCCAAAAGCCGAAAATGGCCAAAACCTCCCGCCGTTAATATTTTGTTACGACTCGATCGATGTCTGGGTTGGGGTGGCTTGATAGACGTTGACTGCCCAGCCCCTTCCGTGGCGGGCCCGTTCCGTGACGAGCCCCTGGCTCTCGAGTGAGACACAGCCAAGGCGAGGATAAAATCGGGTACTGATAAATCGGGAATCTCTGAGATCCGGCAGTTCCGGAAGATGTCTTGGGCGCCGCGACCTTCTCAAAGCGTTCCGGAACGCCCTGGGAGCGTTCCAGAACGCTCTGGAACGATTCGATCCTCGTCCTATCCCGCCCGATTGGGTCCTCTGGGTTGGGCTGGGGTTGTTTGATGGACGGTGACTGACCGGCCCCTTCCGTGACGGGCCCGTTCTGGGGCGAGCCCCTCGCCCTCCAAAACCCACCGAGCCGACAGCGAAACCGAAAGCGACCGAAAACGACAGGCCGCAGGCAGCCCAGAATGGCGCACCGTCGCGGCAACGACACTACAGTAGGAGCTCAATCACAAGAAGCCTCCCAAAAAAAACCCGACCCCGAGACCCCAGGACGTCTATTCATTTTTGGTGTGTGAGCGTCACGCCGTCCTTAGCAGAAACATCGACTGCCAAGAAACCCAGGGCACCCTGGAGGCAAGCAGGGTGTCTCTTGGCACGGGCTTCTTCGGTGGCAATTCATGGGAGCCTCCCACACCATCCTGTGGGCTCTTGCGAATCGACGCTGGAAGAAGCCAAATCGACGCTACATCGACACTGATCGACGCTGACCGACGCTAAATCGGCGCCATCTCATCGACTCCCAGACGCTAGTCGACGCCAATCGACGCTGAAGACGGAAATAAGAGGGTACTCCAGATTTCGTAATAAAGGGAGGGGGGTCTCATTTCGGGGGGGTCTCTTCCAGGCTATCTTGGAGGGTCTGGGGGGTCTGGGGACGATGTTTTGGAGGGTTCTCCCACGGGGGGGTCTAAAACTTCTCGTCTGGGAGGGTTGAGACCCCCTCCCTTCTATCACGAAATCTGGGGTATACCAGGCGCCCACGACTTGCTGCCGAACGGGTCTCTTGGGCACGGGCTCCCGCTGCAAGACCGACCAAAACCGAGCTGGCCGAGGGCGAGCGACCGCAGCGCCACCGAGGCGCGGCCGAGCCGTGAGCACCCCCGGCCCCAACGAGGCCTCCCTCCGGCCGGCGACCGCCGCGTCCTTGGAGCAAGGACCGGCCGTTCCGGCATTCCTAAAGGCCTACCACGACATGCTCTGAAGACCCAGAAATGCTCTAAGAGCAAAGCCCATGTTCTGAGAACATAAGCCCGATGTGTTAAAACTTGGCAGTCTCGGCCGACATTTTTTTGCCCGCCCGCAACTCGTTTAAAGTTCTAGTGAAAATACGCTTCTGAACATATTAGGACCTCCTGGTTGCGAGGGCCCCGAAGCAGAAGCACGAAGTCCCACTGTGCTTCGCCTCGCGCGCATCCCGGCGCTTGCTGAGTCGGTGCTGAAGCAATGCCAGCCACTCCCCGTTGCTCATAGGGCCCTCGACGAAAGTCTTTATCTTGCCGATCGCAGTCTGGACGCCGTCCTCCGCCCTGAGCGCTGATGAAATCTCGGCGGCCTTCTTCTGAATGCTCTCATCTGAGAGGCATGCCCTTATCTTGTTGGCCAGGGTGTTGGCCGTCATCTGGTGGAACTGGCAAGTGGCCTGTCCATTCCCCAACTTGCTGAGAGAAGCCGCGAAGTCAGGCTGATCCAGAAAAATCGGTGTTGTGACTGAGGGCTTTCCTGACCTCATGGAAGCTGCAGTAGTACCACTGCCACCGTGGGTAATCGGGGATGGACAGACCCCCCTTTAGTAAAACGTGGTTTAGTGAAAACGACCTGAGGCCCAAACCTGGCGGGCGCACGCCTGGAAAATAACGGCCACGGCGCCCTCTCGAGAACCGAAAACGGACAATTCACTAATCGACGTGTCACTGTTGGGGGTTCTGTCCACCCCCGAGGTAACGCAGACCGCACACTTCGGCATCAACCACTCATGCGGGGCAGACTCGACGAACAAAACCTGCTCTCTTGCGTAATCGGCTAGTTCCCGATTCCCCAAAACATCTGGACTCCACCCGGCCCAGCCTCGAAGGACTATCCCACGACGGCCAACCTGCTTTAGTGAAGGGGCCCCAGGACACGCAAATAAATACACACAAATAAAAATATTCCCCATATTTTCCAATATTTTCTGGGTATTTGTCTTCCCCCCCATTTCCCATATTTTCCCATATTTTCTAGGAAATCGACGATTAATTGTGTCTGTGTGTTTTTTCCCCTCCTGCTTTAGCGCCGACACCGCGACGTTGGTCATGAACTCGGGCGAGACAGCGATCATGCTGCCCCAGCCGATGTAGACCGGCGGTTCGCCTTCCCTCAGGAAGGCGTCGATCTCGGACCGCTGCGCGCCCCCGAAGCACGCGTCGCCGGTCAGGAAGCGCTGCGTCCGCTGCTCCTGGTCCAGGATCCACCAGCCACAAGTGGTGATGTTTGGATGCTCGCAGTCCGCGGGGACTGGCATCACGGCAGGGCTGCACCCCACGAGCACGGGCGCGATCGGGTCGTTCAACTCTTCGATCACATCTTCGAGGCTCGCGGGCCCCGCGTGCACGAAGTCCCCTTGGCCGAGGAGGGCCGCAGCTGCCCTGACCTGTTCTTCTCTGATGGGTATGTAAGACTTTAAGACAGCCTTCCACAGCAACCTGTTGACGCACGCATAAGGCAATCATCTGTTCATGCCGAAGGGCGACACCTCGCCGGTGAGCAATACCAGCTGGAGCGGCACGTGGATCACAGGAACGCTGTACCTGTGACAGTAGATGCTGCAGAGAGTCCCACAGATGGGGTGGCAGAGTATTAAGTCGGGCTTGAAATTCTCTAGTGCCGTCCAGCCCTTTTCGAAAGTGCCAGGATAACGTTTCTGATTACCTTCCCCAAGAGCCTTCAGGAATTGCATCACAGATCCACTCGTCATCGCGTGTCTTAGGCCCTCGTCTGTCGTGACCACACTCTCAAAGTTGACGCCCATAGTGACGTGATTGATCCCAAAAGCCTTGACCATATTTTCGTGGTCGGCATTTGACACGGATCTATTTATACACCCATGCTTTTCCAACCCCAATGCGAGAGCGATGTAGGGTTGACAATCGCCACGAGTGCCATCGCAAAGAATAGCGACCCGGAGACCGTTTAGTCGGAACTGCTTCGACATGCGACATGCAGCGCTGACACCGCGCATGCCACAAGCAGGCCGTGGTCGTGCGCACCCTGAGCCAACACGGCTTGAGCCAAAATGGCTTGAGCCAAAATGGCTACGGATTGGCAGTCTCAGCCGACAATGATCTAAGAACAGTTCGTGCAGATCATAAATCGGGGATGGACAGAACCCCCTTTAGCAAAACGTGGTCTAGTGAAAACGCCCTCGGGCCCAAACCTAGCGGGCGCAAGCCTGGAAAATGACGGCCGCGGCGTCATCTCGAGAACCGAAAACGAACAACTCACTAATCGACGTGTCAGCGCGGGGTTTCTGTCCAACCCCCGAATAAAAGGTTCTCAGAACACTCTCTGGTGGGCCTATAAGCTTGCGGATGCCACGACAATGGACACCCTAACAGTCCTATCACTGAGTTGAAATGTGTTTGAAATGTCGTAACAATGCTCTAAACATGTTGGAAACATGATTGTTTACAAGCTTAAAGCATGTTTACCACATGCTTTAGACATCTGGACCTGACTTCGCAGCATACTCGCCATTGATCGTCCTCCCCAACTAATAGGGCCGCCAGGACGCCCCGCCGCTGCTCGAGTAAAACGAGGCTAGGATCGGGATAAATCGCTCCAGAGCGTTCCAGAGCGCTCACAGAGCGTTCCGGAACGCTCTGGAGCGGCCGCGGCGCCCCATACATCCTCCAAGCCCGCCGCTTCTCAGAGATTTCGAGCTCTCCCGATCCGATTTTGTCCCGATCTTCGCGTCGTTTTACCAGGACGCCCCGCCGCTGCTCGAGACCTGCAGAGGGCGGGCGGGGGGGGCGGCGGCCCCGGCCGGGCCGCCGCCCCCCCTGGGCGGCAAGAGCGCGGGGCATGATTAAAGCATGATTAACACATGTTTTAGACATCTGGACCTTATTTCGCAGCATACTCCGCCAGGACGCCCCGCCGCTGCTCGAGTAAAACGAGGCTAGGATCGGGATAAATCGCTCCAGAACGTTCCAGAGCGCCCTCAGAGCGTTCCGGAACGCTCTGGAGCGGCCGCGGCGCCCCATACATCCTCCAAGCCCGCCGCTTCTCAGAGATTTCGAGCTATCCCGATCCGATTTTGTCCCGATCTTCGCGTCGTTTTACTCGGGGGCGGCCAAGAGGGGGGTGTCCAAGAGGGGGGGGGTGCAAATCATGACCGGCGGCATGTGCGCGGCCCAGCGAGGGTTCCTGGGACGTAATGAAATAAGAAGAGGCGCCACGAGATCTGGGGAGATATCATGGCCCCCGCCATGATATCCCCCCCCCCTAATCATCACCCCCCTCTTGTCCGCCCCCGAAACTATAGGGCCGCCAGGACGCCCCGCCGCTGCTCGAGACCTGCAGAGGGCGGGCGGGGGCAGCGGCCCCGGCCGGGCCGCCGCCCCCCCGGGGCGGCACGAGCGCGGGGCAGGCGCGGTGCCCGGCCTCCTGGAAGACGAGGCGCTCCTTGACCAGCTTCGCCGGCCTCTTCCGCTCGTTCTTCACCTCCCCTTTCCGAGCAGGAGGAGGAGGAGGAGGAGGAGGAGGAGGAGGAGGAGGAGGAGGAGGAGGAGGAGGAGGAGGAGGAGGAGGAGGGGGGCGATGAAGAGGAGGAGGAGGAGGAGGAGGAGGAGGAGGAAGAGGAGGAGGAAGAGGAGGAGGAGGAGGAGAAGGAGGGATGAGGAGGAGGAGGAGGAGGAGGAGGAGGAGGCGGGAATTTACACACGACCACCGCTTGGAGGGTCAGTGAATGGAGCCTCGGCGGGCGGTGGATGTGGACGTCTTCGGGCCCCCGCGGGCCGAAACATATCCATATCCACCGCCCGCTGGGGCACCGGGACGTCGGTTCCCAGCTTCGCCGGCTCTTTCGCTCGTTCTTCACCTCCCACTGGGGGGCGAATCCTGGTACAGTCGGCCTCGATTGGACAGGACACGCGAGAGAACACGGGACCCTTCCGAGGGCCACATCGCCACAGGAATGCAGGAGGCGCGGGTCGCGCGACACAGGACACAATGGTACCCTTGATTTGGCAGGGTCGACCTACTAATCCAGGCCGACTGCATCCGAAGAATGCATAGAATGCTACACAAGTCTGCGGAGCACTCGACGTGTCCCCCGTACGCTCGACGGGAAAGCCAGCTTGGGGGTCTGTAATCAATCCTCTACTTGATCCTTGACCAGCTTCGCCGGCCACTTCCACTCGTTCTTCGCCTCCCATTGAGGGGCGACGCTTGGGATCCTGGGGGGACATCTGCTCCTTCCCAGGACTACCAAAATCTCCATGACTCCCTGCTGCTCCGCTCGAGTAGGGGACCGACTACCGAGTTGATGTACCCCAGAATTGTTCTTCCCGTCGAGCGCACGGAAAAACGCACAGACTACTCCACAGATCTGCGGAGCACTCGAAGAAGTGTCTCCCGCAGGCTCGAAAGGAAAAGGCAACGTTTGCGGGCAAATCGATTCTGCAGTCGAGCCCCTGCCCGATCCCGGACCAGCTTCGCCGGCGTCCTCCGCTGGTTCCTCAACTCCAGTCGGCGACGAGCCCAGGGTCAGGTCGGGTATGTCCTCCTACAGGCGGATTTTGGAAGAACAATGAAACCATAGAAATCAAAATCAAAATGAGAAATCATAGAAATCAAAGAGAAAATCAAGAAATCAAAGAAATGAGCAATCAAAGAGAGAAACATCATATAATCAGAACCACATCGAAGAAATCAAAATCAAAATCAACCATGGTCCTAGTCAAAATGAGAAATCATAGAAATCAAAACATACGCCCCCATAAGAACCACCGCGACACGCGAAGTCGTTTACTTTCACGCGCCCAACGAGGAGATCGAACAGGGCAGGGCTGTTCAGTAAACGCCCAGGGCCATTCAAACAAACGCCAATTATCGGCGGTGGACAATACTCCCTTTAGTAAACCTCCCCTTGGTGAAAACGGCCTGGGACCGAACCCGACGGAGCTGGAACCGCAAAAATGACGGCCACGATGCCCTCTCGCGAACCGAAAACGGCAAATTTCCTTATCGACGTGTCAGGGTAGGAGGCCTACCAATCTCCGAAATTAGCCGGTCCGGGTGGTTCCTCCTCCCTTTTGACGGTACTCGGTGGCTTATCTTTAGCCTCGAGATGCTTGCCAGCAGCTCCGCCTCGCCGAGGGCGCTCTGGGGGGGGTGCCCCGATCGTCCGGCACGGCCGCCGGAGGCCTGAGCCATGTCAGGTCGGGCCTGTCCCCCGACAGGGGGATCTTGGACGGAAGAAAGGAAATCCCCCCAAAAAATCTTCAAATATGGTCAAAAATAATCAACGAATCGTCCCCTGTGGAGGGACAGGCCCGGCTTGAAGCTATGGCCCAAAGCCAGATTCGGCGGCGCGCCCAGGGTGGGGAAAGGAGGAGGAGGAGGAGGCCTTCTCAGAATAGAGGGAGGAGGAGCAGGAGGAGGAGGAGGAGGAGGAGGAGGAGGAGGAGGCCTTCTCAGAATAGAGGGCAGAAAATCCACATCCATAATGATCACCCCGACACGCGAAGCCGTTCATTGGAGACCTGGGAATGGGCACCGACACCAGCACAGGGGGTTGCTTCCACAGGGGGAAGATGATCCTAGATTTCGGTGTTGGTGGTAACAATTCGGTCACCTTGAAGCCAGAATATCACCACCATCACCGAGATCGGGATCTTCTTCCCTCGGTGGAGGCACACCGCCGATATTGGTGTTGGTGTCAACCTCTACGTTTAGCAAACGCACCCACAGAAGGAATCGAACGGGGAAAGGCTGCGTAGTAAACGCCCAAGGCTGTTTAGTAAACGCCAATGGTCGGATCCGGGTGGTTTTTCCCCACTTGACAGAAGGCGGCGAGGCTCCTCAGAGGCCCTCGCGCCTTCTGCGAGGTGTTCTGCACCTCCGGGGAAGGCTAGGACAACTTCTCAGAAGACCCAGGGGCTTCCGAGCCTGCTGGGAAGGTCCGCCCCTTCTCACGTCCCTCCCAGGCTCGCCGCCAATCCCAAACTGACTACGATTAAGTCGCAAAAAAGGATACGCGATAACGATGCAAGGGCCTTGGAGGGCCATCATGGGCGATTTTCAAGCGGGGCTGGCCAGCGAAAGTCGCCGAGGATGGGCCGAGGGGGCAAGGATGCGAGGACAGCCTTGGAAAGTTGCTCCATCCTTACTCTGCGACTTGAGCCCAAACCGAAATCCAGAACTTCGGGATGGGGGGGGGCTTACGGGTTCCACCCGTGTATGTCCCGACCCTCCCGTGGTGGATTCTCGTTGTGAGTAGAACACTTCGGCCTCCAGCAT